CCTACTCCTGCAGACCGGCCCCCGAGCGGGGCCACCCCCAGCCCGACAAGGAAATCCGCTTCCTGGCCGACTCCCGGGAGCAGAGCTACGCAGCCAGCCTGCAGGGCTGCCTGGTAAGCCCGGCCCTGGCGCACCTTGGCAGTGCCTGGAAAAGGCTCCCGACATTCACAGAGCCCCTGGGAGTGTGTTTGTACCTCCAAAGTTTGGGATAGAGCTGGTGGATGAGGCTTCACCCGGTGGGAAGGGCATGGAGAGCATCCCTGGGGCCGAGGAGCTGCCCTGGCTTTTGGGAGCGGGCTGGGATGTGGCAGGGGGTGAGGTGGACACGGGGGAGGTCACTCGCTGGAAAAGCCAGGAAGGGCTGGGAATGGACTCTTTCCATTCACCGGGCTGCTGCGTCTGTCAAGGAGCCAGCAAGGGGACAGCGGGTGCTCTGAGAGGCTCCTTGAGGATTTTGGTGTCCCTCAGCTGCCCCTTTGTACTCCTTTCAGCTGGACAACGAGTCCTCCATCACCGACACCATCTTCCAGTTCAGCACGGAGGAGCTGTCGCTGCTGCCCCTGCGGGACCTGGCGGTGTTTCACAACGGCGACGCCTCGCACCAGTTTGGTTTCACAGTCGGACCAGTTTGCTTCAGCTGAAACTGGTGCCACCCAAACCGAGCCAGCCGGTTCCCTCCCCGCCCAAGAGCCATCCTGTGGGGGCTGGGGTGGCCCCCTCCCCGGAGCTGCAGGTTCTCTGCGAGATATCCGTGTTTGTAGCTGCATTCCGCCACGGACCACACTGCCTTCTGGAATAGAAGAATATTGTTTACAGAAGTCGTTTCTCTATAAATTATATATATATATTATATATGTATATATTATATATGAGAAGGTGCTGATTTAATGACTGCTTGGGGGAGGTTTGCATAATTGTAAGCGCTGGGAACTGTCTGCTTAAAGGAAAAAAAAGAAAAACAGTGAGCAAAACTACAGCCAGCTTGGGAGGAGGGGCAGGAAAGGGGCTTTTCTTTGCCAGGGTCAACTTGGAGCCTCATTTCCCCAGGACCTGTCTGAGAAGCCCAGTCAGCCTGTGGTGTGGGCAGGGGGCAGGCAGAGCCAAGGGGCTGGCACTTCTCTGGATGCTGCAGGCAGACCTTGTGCAGCAGATTGCAAAAGGAAAATTCAATTCCAACTCCTGGACAGAAAATGGCAACAAGCAGAACGTGGGGAAAAAAACAAACAAACAAACATTTTTTAATTATTATATTTTTTGCACAAATTGGTCATTTTTGCAGCATTTTCCACTGTGTTTTTGCACATGCACAGTCCCCACCTCTCCGGCCTTGGAGGCCACAACCCACAGGAGCTGTGGCTGCCAAAAAGTGTGTTTCTTTTCACTGGAAACTTCTGAAATATTTTAAAGAGAAGTAGCACATTTGTAGGTTTATCCAGTATTTTTTCTTACTTCAAGCAGCAAACACACCATGAATAACTCCAGTTCCACCTGTAAGGCAAAATTCACTCACTACCCACAGCAGTGGTTTGCCTGTAACTCTGTATTTCCTTCCCAAACCGGGAGAGATACACAAATCCCCTGGCAGGCACTGGGTACCTTTGTGGGCACCTGCTGGCACTTGGGCAAACTGTGCCAGGGGTAGCTCTGCACTCCCTGTTCCCTCGACAAAGCCACAGCTGGAGGGAAAGTCTGGTCTTCCCTTTGGTCTTTCCTGCCTATCTCTGGGAGGGGGGGGGGAATCCCATAGAATCCCAGAGTGGTTTGGGCTGGAAAGAGCAGCTCATTCCACCCCCTGCCATGGGCAGGGACACCTTCCACCGGCCCAGGTTGCTCCAAGCCCTGTCCAACCTGGCCTTGGACACTTCCAGGGATGGGGCAGCCACAGCTTCTCAGGGCAACCTGTGCCAGGGCCTGCCCACCCTCACAGGGAAGAATTCCTTCCCAGTATCCCATCTAGCCCTGCCCTCTGGCAGTGGGAAGCCATTCCCCCTTGTCCTGTCATTCCACGCCCTTCTCCCAGGTCCCTCTCCGGCTCTCTTGGAGCCTCTTTAAGCCCTAGAAACTCTAAGGTTTCCGTGGAAAATTCTCCTCTCCGGGGAGAGGAGCTGGGATCGGGAGCTGGGAATGGAGCCGGGAGGAAAAGCGAAGCGAAAGGGGGAGCGAGGAGGGGTGAGGACCGGCTTGGGCAGGGGATGCTGAGCCCCTTCCTCCGAGGATGCGGGAGGGACCCGCCCCGCCCTGCCCCACGCGTGTTCCCACCGCACTACAGCTCCCGGGGAGCCCCGCGCGCGCGTCACCGCGACAGCGACCGCGACACAGCGACAGCGACAGCCGCAGCCCCGAGACAGCCTCGGCTGGCACGGCACGGCACGGCACGGCACGGCACGGCACGGTACGGCACGGTACGGCACGGGCCGCCCCGCTGCGGGGCCCGCACCGCCACCATGCAGGTGAGCACGGGGAGGGGACCGGGGGGTGCGCCCCGGGCACGGCGAGCAGCGAGGATGGTGCCGGGAATCTCCCCCGGGAATCCCTCTGAAGCCTTGGAAATCCCGCCCTGCAGCCCCTGAAATCCCACCCGAAACCTTCCTGCGGGCTGAGGCATCGCCGATTCACCCCCTCGGTCCGGTCCCCCCTCGGCCCCTGCCCCAGCCGGGGGGCTCCGGCGAGCTGCGCACAGGGCGGGGGGATGTCGGTCAGTCTGCCAGTCCGTCTGTCTGCCTGTCTGTCTGCTCCTCGCACCCCCGTGCTACCACATCCCCACCCCAAGGCTCCCCCGTGTCCCCCTCTCCCGCCGCCCACGGAAGGGCTGTGCTGGCTGCACCACCAGGCTCTTGCAGCAGGAGCTCAAGGCACAGCTCAGGCCTCAAACTGTTCCCCCACCCCGCTGCGGGTTTGCTTTGTAGCTCCCAGCTCAGATGTGGTGTTTGGGTGCCACATCCCTGGAAGAGTCCCAGGCCAGGTTGGACGGGCCTTGGAGCAACCTGGGCTAGTGGAAGGTGTCCCTGCCCATGGCTTTGAAGTCCTGGATGAGGATGAGCTTTGAAGTCCCTTCCAACCCAAACTATTCAGTGATTCTGCTTGGTGTTTAAGGCTCCCAGATCCCCCCGATTTCCTGGCAGCCACATCCCTGTGAGGCCCAGAGGGTGGCTGACACCATCCCCGAGGGGAACCCCAGTTTGGGGACCCCTCCCCAGACCCCAGCATGGTGCTGCAGCATTCCTGGCTGGGATGATGTGCTGTGCAGCAGAGCAGGGTCGGGGGCTGCCGGGAGTCAGGTTTGTCCCGATGTGCAGGGTCAGGTGTCCCGGTTGGGATGCAGCCTGACACTGCTCCGTGCAGGCACCACTGGTTTTCCTCAGAATAACCCCAAAACTGCGGTGGATTCAGCCACTAAATGCACACGAGCAGAGGCAGCACAGGGTGTTTTCCAGCAGTTGTGTTTCCTTGTGAAATTCCTGCGAGGTGCGGAGGAGGGACTGGGTGCAGCCTCACCTGGGCAACTGCTCAATCCCTGCTGCGTGGGCAGGTGGGTGAGGACAGGAGCTCATCGCTCCTTCCAGCATCCCTGGGCCTGTCACATTGCCCTGGCAGCGCAGGGGTTTTTAGGACTTGCCCCTTGGACCTTTGCCCACCACACCTCACCCAGCCGTGTGCCAGCTCTGGAGAATTCCCACTGGAGCATCGCCGTGGGAGAAGAGGGAGGGGCTGTTGGCCCAAGGAGCAGTGTTTTGGGCTATGCTGGGCACCTAAAGGCTTGGCAGACCTGTGCAGCAAAGGGGACCTTCTGGATCTTTGGAACAGGCTGCCCAGGGAAGTGGTGGCATCACCGTCCCTGGAAGTGTTCAGAAAACATGTAGATGTGGCACTTGAGGACCTGGCTTAGTGGTGGGTTTGGGGTTTGGCAGTGCTGATTGTTTGGACTCGATGATCTTGGAGGGCTTTTCCAACCCTGATGACTCTATGATTCTGTTCCCTTGTCCCTAAAACAGTCATCTCCACCTTTCACCACTTTGCAGACCTGTGGGTGAAGCCTGTAAAGGAGAAATAGCTTCATTTAAAGGCTAATTACCATTAATCCATGGCCAAAGGAAGCTTAAAAGGGTGAGCCAATTACATGCGCTAATGCACTCTGGGAAGAGAGAGGCCGAAGGGTGTAATTAGAACTGGTCTATAATAACTCTCAGTTATTGGAGGGTATTTCTGGCCCAGGCCAGGCCAGTCAGTCACATCTGCTGGTGTCAGTAACGAGTGGGGACACTGCCAAAGCCATATCAGTGTGGCAGAGGAGCTCCATGAACACTTCCTGGAGAGATTCACCAAAGGGAGGATAAAGAACCCAACAAAATTCCACTCTCTGTGGTAAAATGAGCAAGACTTTTACCTACTGACAGCAGCTGAACATGAGCCAGGGGTGCCCAGGTGGCCAAGAGGGCCAATGGATCCTGGCCTGGCTCAGGAACAGAGTGGCAGCAGGAGCAGGGAGGTGATTCTGCCCCTGTGCTGGGCACTGGGAAGGCCACACCTCGAGTGCTGTGCCCAGTTCTGGCCCCTCAGCTCAGGAAGGACATGGAGGGGCTGGAGCAGGTCCAGAGAAGGGCAATGAGAGTGCTCAGCCCTTGGAATGGGCTGCCCAGGAGGGGGTGGAGTCCCCGTTTGAGCAGAGCCTGGATGTGGCATCAGTGCCATGGGCTGGGTGACAAGGTGGGGTTGGGTCACAAGTTAGAGTTGATGGTCTCAGAGCTCTTTTCCAACCCTGTTGATTCTGTGATTCTGAGATTCTCTGACTTGGCAGCTGGGCACGAGCTCTGCAGCTGGGTTTGTTACACAAGAGCAGTTCTTGTTCCTCCTGTTTCAGCCTGATGAAGGAGGGGTTGGTGCCTTTGTAGGTCCTGGCAGCCCCAGGTTGGACAGACAGGCAGTGCTCCTCTGCCAGGGAGACACATTATTGGGTGGTCACAACGGCTCTGGATGCTTTGGTAATTGAGATTTTGGGTGTCCCAGCAATGCAACGGTTTCTCTGTCCTGGGAGGTTCCTCATCAGGCTGTGGGTGGTATCCCCCAACCTCCACCTGTTCCCCATAGTCCTTCCCTTCTCAAATCTGGGCTGGTGGAGTCCTGGACTGGTCTTTCAGGGCTAAACTGGCTTTTTCTCACAGCCCAGACACTGCACAGGAGCTGCTGCTGGAGGTGACAACTGTCCTGCTGGAGGTCAGGGGAAGAGTTTAGTCCAGTCAGCATGACTGGAATTGTCAGTGCAGGTTCCTCTTTCTTCAGGAACTGGGGAAAAAAGATTGCACCATGTGGTAAAAGCCCAGATGAGCATCAGCTCAGCCCTCTGGGGTGGTGGGTGAATGGATCCCGAGGAGTTCCTCGTGCTGCCCTTTCCTTGGTCTCTTTTCCAGATGACCTTTTATTTCTCGGACACGGCAGTGCTGCTCTTTGACTTCTGGAATGTCCACAGCCCCACAGGTAGGCCCTGGGACATCCATCCATCCATCCATCCATCCATCCATCCATCCATCCATCCATCCATCCATCCATCCATCCATCCATCCACCCATCCATCCATATCTGCCCAGGGAAGTGATGGGCTGGCAGTGGGGACAGCAGGACCCCTCCAGCATTAAAACTGGAGCACTGGAGCATGGAGGGCTCTGGCAGAGCTGTGATGGGCTCCACACCTCCCTCATCCCAGGGCTTGGAGGGCACCTTCCCATGCCAAGAGCAGGAAACAGGGAGGTGTGGGAAGCACCCCCTCTCAGCCTGCCAACCCTCCCAGTTCACTCCATGATGGCTCAGCTTCCCAGTTCCTTTTACACTCCTTTTTTTCCCTCATTAAATTATTCTCCCAGCATCGTGTTTCAACTCCCACCTATTTGTGGAATCAGGGCAAAGTTGCATATTTTTTTCAGAGCAACCCCCTCCAAAGAAACCCTCCCTAGGAATTTCACGGGGGTGATTGGGCTAAATAAATTCTCTCCAGCACTTCACAAACCTGCTGCTCAACCCTGAATGTCAGGAGCCCTCCCCCTTATCCCATGGATCCCAAGCATGCTGGAACCCCCCAAACAAGCCCTCCCTGGGTGCTGTGAGCCCAGCCTGGCTGACCTGAGCCCTGTGCTGCAGGGATGGTGCTGTCAGTGCTGGTGATCCTGCTGCTGTCGGTGCTCTACGAGGCCCTGAAGATGGGCAAGGCCGTGCTGCTGCGGCGGGCGCTGCTGGCACTGCCCCGCAGCCTCAGCCAGGAGGCCCTGACGGAGCCACAGGAGGGGGACACCGACCCTGCGCAGGGCAGGTACCTCAGACACCCCCCTTTGCACCCTCTGGTGGGCAGTGGGGGGCTCAGGGAGGGCTCTGTGTCCCCTTGGCCAGCGCAGGAGGGGAGAAGGGCTGTAAGGAGGCGGCCGAGGAGTTGTAGGGAACTGCTTTTCCCCAGGACAGCGGTGTTTGTGCAGCCTGGGGAGGTGGCTCCAGGGGCATCCCAGTCCCTCCTGGTGCTCTGGGAGATGTCCAGGGTAGTGTCTAAAGGCTCATTTTTCCCCCCCAAGAGCCATTGTGGGTGCAGGAGGGTCTTCATGGTTTGGGGATGGGCAGAGTCAGGAGATTCCCAGCAATTCCTTCCTTTGGAGCCAAGCCCTGGGTTTTTCCTCTCATGTTTAATCCCTGAGGCTGCTGTTATTGCCAACCTCTTAATAATGTCCTCCCCTAGAACATCCTATTTTTCTTAATAAAACCTCCTTTGGAGCAGGGTTTGCCCCTGGGATGCTGTTTGCAGCCCCCATCCCTCTCCCTGCTCCCCAAACCCATCCCTGGCTGCTCCGGGCTCCTGGCAGGGGGGAATATGGGGTGTCCCAGCCCCTCAGTGATGGGGTTTCCCATCTTGTCCCACAGGTGGTTCCGGTACCACGTGGGGCAGACGCTGTTCCACGTGGTGCAGGTGGTGCTGGGCTACATGGTGATGCTGGCTGTGATGTCCTACAACGCCTGGATCTTCCTGGGGGCCATCGCGGGCTCCACGCTGGGCTATTTCGTGGTGTACCCCCTGCTCGGCCGGGGTTAGACCCCCCCCAGGGTGGTGGGACACGTGCCCCCACCTCCTGCTCCTCTGTCTGGAATAGCTGCTGTCACTTCTGCTGGCTCTGTCCCTGTCCCCTGTGCTGGGTGGGACGCAGAGCCCCAGGGACTCGCTGTGGGGCTCTCGGTGCTGGCCCTGCCGGGGTGGGGCAGTGCTGGGGACAGGGAGCCCCACGGCCAGCACTGCCAGGCTGGTGGCTGTCCCCTGGCTCTCAAGGAGCTCTGGGCAGGTGCTGACAGCGAGGGGGTGCTGGGCATTTCCTTCCCCTCCCCACTTTTCAAGGAGGTTCATCCTGGCTGGAACGGGAATGGTCCGGTGACTTGCTGGGGAAGGGGACACGCTGGGGACAGGGCCCACTGCCCTCCTGCCCCAGAGCTGCCCTGCACCAAGCCCCTCTTCACACAGTGCCTTCTGGGGATGCTGGGGGGGTCCTGCTCCCCCCACCCACTCCCCTCCTGCCAGTGCTTCAGGGATGGGGTTGGAGTAGCCCCCGAGCCATGGGGACACTGCTGCTCCAGGCACCTCTTGCTGCTTCCTCAGGACACCCCTTTTAATAAAATCATCTCAGTCACTCTGCTCCTGGTTTGTGTCGCTGCTGGGTGGTCTCAGGAGGTGACACCCCCTGGTCACAGCAGGAATGGGGGTCCCCAGCCCTGCTCCCCAGGCGGGAGGTTCAGGAACAAGGACAAACCTCCTCTGGCTTTAAATAAAGCTTTTCCATTTTATTAATTATTATAAGCATATCTTTAAACATTTGTATAACTTTCTTAATAAAATATCCTGGAAGAGACAGATTTTAAGTTCCCAAAGCAAGGCACTTTTGGGGGGTGGGGGGCATTCCCGAGTGGGTTAGGCTGGGCACCTCCCCCCCTCCAGTGGGGCAGAAACTGGCCCCTAAAGCACAGATGAGTGTCGTGGGCTGGGCCCTGCTGGGTGCACGTGTCTCACCTCCCCCCCCTACCCCGAGTCCTGCAGATTCCCACCAGCCCCAGGGCTTTTGGCATCGCTGGGGAAGGGGGGTCTGCAGCAGTCCCATCCCCCTCCCCACGGCGGGCAGGGCTGCTGGGGACAACCACTGCTCTTTGCTCGAGCGTCACTGCCGCTGCCAAAACCCGCACAGCCTGAGAGCTGCAGGAACGATCCGAGCACGGAACCGGGGAGCTCCAGAGGGCAGGGGATCCCTGGGATCCCTCCCCTGCACAGCGAGCTGAGCCTGGAGACAGCCCAGTGCTGCCAGGCACGGCGGGGGACACGGTGTGAGTGCCACCTTCCCCCAGAGATGTCTCTGAACTTAAATAGCTGCTAGAAGACCCCGGGGTGAGGGTGAGCTGTGAGTCCAGCCTGGGTACCACGAGCCCAGCCTGGACAACGTGAACCCAGCCCGGGTACCCCAAGCCCAGCCTGGGTGCCGTAAGCCTAGCCTGGATGCTGTAAGCCCAGCCTGGGTGCCACCAGCCCGTGCTTGCCCCGGCTCTCGCCCCCCTCCTCAGCAGCTCTTCGTGGCTGTGTCCCTGCCGTGCCCCTGTTTGTCGTCGCGTTTTCCGTGATCCCCCGCAGCCCCCAGTCCCACGGGCACTCCCGGAGCCGGCCGGGTGGGGTGGTGATGAGGAAGCTCCCGGGAAACCTCTCGGACTGGGGCAGGGGATGGCCCCGGGGCAGCCAGGAGCATCCCACACCCCACCCCGAGCGGGGCTAGTGCCAGCCCCTCCAGTAGCCCCAGGCACTTGTGCTGGGGGGGCAGATAAAGCATCTCTTCAGTAAAGCATCTCTTCAGTAGAAAAGGAAATAAGGCAGAAGAAGGACAGAGCAGAGTGCAGGGGGTGCCCTGTGCCGGGCTGGGGCCACCCCTAGTCCGACCCAGTGGCTGTGGCCAGCCCCCCCCATGGCAGCGGGGACCCCCGGCAAGGCAGTAAGGTCTCGGTGTTCCCATCCCCTCCCTCTCCCGCGGCGCTGCTCTCCATCCCCGGCAGGGGTCCTATTCCCCCTCCCCAACCCCGAGCGTCCCCGGGGCCAGTCCACAGCAGGGCTAGAACTCAGTCTGCACCCCCTCACCGCTCTCTGTGGTGCCCGTGGGCTGCGGGGGGCCTGGAGGGGCCACATCCTCGCCCGTCTCCTGGTCGCTGGGCTGGTGACACGCTGTCCCGGCACCCTCGGCTCCGGGGGCAGGTGATGATGCTGGTGTGACGTGGGGCACCTCTGCTGGCACATCGGCCCGGGCTTTGGGGGATGCTGGTGCAGCGTGGTGCAGGCTGGGCTCCGGTGGGACGTTGACTCCAGGTGATGCCGGCACGGATGACCTTGGTGTGGCCTGTGGCACCTCAGCCCCTGAGGGGACATCGGCTCCGGGCACAGGGGATGACAGCAAGGATGATCTTGGCGTGGCCTGTGGCACAACAGCCCCTGATGGGACATCAGCCCTGGGCACAGGAGATGCTGGTGCAGGGACAGGAGATGCTGGTTCCCCAGCCCCTGATGGGACATCAGCCCTGGGCACAGGAGATGCTGGTGCAGGACGCTGTTCCCCAGCCCCTGATGGGATCTGAGCTCCAGGGACAGGAGATGTTGGTGCAGAACGTTGTTCCCCAGCCCCTGATGGGACGTCAGCTCCAGGGGCAGGTGATGTTGGTGTGGCACGTCGCCCCCCAGCCCCTGGTGTGCCCTCAGCTCCGGGCACAGGCGGTGCTGGTGCAGCACGTCTCATCCCAGCCCCAGACGGGGCCTCGGCTCCCGGTGATGCCGATGAGGGGCGGTGCACCCCGTCCCCTTCCCTGGCAGGACGCCGGGGGGTGACATCCCCTGGCACAGACCCTGCCACCCCCTCCTCGCTGGCACCGCTCTCTCTGCCGTTCGTCAGCTGCTCCTCCTCCTCCTCCTCCTCCCGCCCGGCGCCGTCCCCGAGGCTCTCCTGTGCCAGCGCCTCCCGGATCTCCCTCACCCCATCCGGGGAGCCGCGGGGCGCTCCGGGATCCTGCAGCTCAGGGGAGCGGGGCTGCAGCAGCGCCTCGCTGCCCATCTCGTAGGGCAGGGCCCCCTCGTCGTCCTGGATCACCGACACCACCTGCTTGGCCCTGCGGCGCCGGTCGCCCTGCCCGGCCGGCTCGGGCTCGGGCTGCCCCGGGTACTCCTCGCCCCAGTCGATGGGGATGCCCTCGCCCAGCAGGTGCAGGTTGGGGTCGCTGTTGTGCATGACCATGCTGTCCCGGTACAGGTTGTGCTTCCTCTGCACCGCCGCCTCCTTCACGGCTGGGGGGGGATGCGCAGAGCGGGGTCAGGGGGGCTGCGGGTGCCGGCCAGGACGGGGAACCTCTGCCAGTCCTCCCCGTGGGGACAGGGAGTGGGGGCTGCAGCTGGGCAAGGGCGTTCAGCGTCCCACCCACTGCTCAAACTGTGGGGCAGCCCCAGCACCCTGCATGGGGTCACCCCCTCCTCGTACAGCCCCCAGGACCCTGCACGGGGTCACCTCTCCTTGTGCAGAACACCCTGCACGGGGGTCACCCCCTCTTTATACAGACCCCTGTTTGGGGTCTCCCCCTTCTTGCACAGCACCCTGCACAGGGGGTCACCCCCTCCTCATGCAGCCCCCAGCAGGGTGTCCCCCTCCTCACGCAGGTGCCACGGGACCCTTACCTTGCATGATGTCTTTCATGACCGACTGCAGCACCACCTCCTCGTAGGTGTTCTCCACCAGGATGAAGCTGGCAAAGTCCTCAAAGATCAGCTCCTGAAACTTGGCCAGTTCCTGCCAGGGGAGCAGGCGGCTCAGCCCCGGTGGGAGGGACTCTCCAGCCCCTCGGCAGGGGGAGGTGGTTCCTCCCCACAGCCCAGATTTTCCCCTCTTACCCCCTTGCAGGTGGGTGCCAGCTTCTTCAGCAGGAAGGGGATGGTGATCTGCAGCAGGGCCTCCCTGAAGAACTTCTTCCTCACAGTGCTGCTGTCGTAGTCAAATTTCTGCAGGGCAGGTGAGAGGGTGCCCCAGGTCACAGAGGGCTGAGGGCTGACAGCCCCCTGACCTTGGGGACAAACCCCTGAGGTTTGTCCCCCCACTCCATTTGTAGAGGTGTGAACAGATTCCTCTGCCCTCACAAGCCTCTTTCTACCTGCTTCCCAGGGTGCCTGAGCCTGGGGAGAAGCCATCTCCTCCATGACTGGTTGAAGGAAGGTTTGGGGGCCAGTCTGAACCCCGGGTGGCTTTTACAGTGACAGGGACCTGGCTCCTCCAGGTGATTTCCCACTCACCTGCCCCAGCAAACCCATGAAAACCTCAATATAGAGAAGTATTTCCCCAGAAGACTTCTGTTGAAGCAGATAACATCACTCCTGGCATCTTCCCTGGCCCTGGAACAAGGCCACTGAAGGCCACCAAAGGCCTCACCTTGAGCACCCTCTCGAGGATGCGCTGGATGGACTTGCACAGCTCGTCCTTGCCCTGCAGCTTCCCCAGCTCCTGGTGCAGCAGCGTCTCGAAGGTGTGCACGGCATCATCCATTTGCTGGGAGCAGAGGAAAGGGGTCAGCATGGGAGGGGCACCCAAAGGGACCGAGCACAGGGGTGGGCAGGGCGCTCTGGGGGTGGTGACACACCAGAATGAGCCTTATCACAGAATCCCAGACTGGTTTGGGTTGGAAGAGACCTTAAAGATTATCTTGTACCACCCCCTGCCATGGGCAGGGACACCTTCCACCAGCCCAGGTTACTCCAAGCCCTGTCCAAGCTGGCCTTGGACACTTCCAGGGATACAGGGGCAGCCACAGCCTCTCTGGGCAACCTGTGCCAGGGCCTGCCCACCCTCACAGGGAAGAATTTATTTTTAACATCCCACAGGCAAATATCCTTCACTCTGGCAAGGTCCCTGACAGCCCAGCGTGGCATCCACAGCTTGAGATAGGACAGACATCCCAGCCAAACCCTGGGATCCCAGCCCTCTATGCCCAGCCCAGGGGACACGGGAGGACCCCAGTGCCCATCCCACCTGTCTCATGTGGATCTGGGCCCTCTGCTTGAAGACAGATGTGCTGGAGACATCGAATCGCTGCTGGAGACCCTCCAGTTTCAGCTGGTCCATCTTCTCGTAGCACGACTGCATCTTCACGGGGTGGAAGGCCAGGTGGGACAGCTTCTCCATGTACTGGGGACAAAGCCAGGCTCAGCAGGGCGGGACAGCCTTTCTGAGTACTCATGGGAAAAAATTCCCACGTATTTTCCCAGCCTGGGGTCCCCCAGTGCTGCCCACACTGGGGAGGGCAGCAGGAGTGGCCCTGCCAACCCCTAAGCCCAGCAGCCAGCAAGGAGCACTGCCAGGTCTCACCTCTGCCAGCTTCTCCAGGCCACCCTCGTTGACAACGTTCATGTTCATATCTGTCACCTCCTTGAAGAACACCTCCCTCACCTCGGCAAAGCCCTGGCTCGTGGGGGTCATCAGGGCCTCCAGGATGGAGGAGATGTAGGGCTGGACGTGGTTTCTGACACAGACCTCTGCTTTGGGCAGCACGAAGGCTGGAGAGAGCAGGGAGAAGCGTGGTGAGGCTCCTCTCTGCCCTCCCAGCTCCTCACACCGGGCCCTAAACCCACCCCAGGGACAAGGACCCAGAGAGCTCCCACTTGCAGGACAACCATTCTTGCAGAGGGCCCCTGGTCTGTGCTGAACCCATTCCTACCACACTTGAAGGGGTGACTTCCCACCTTGTCCCCACCTCCTGGGACAATGCCAGTGAAGGACATGCACCCCAAAACTATGGCTGGTGGCATCTCCCCCAGGGTTCCAAGGGCTGCACCCCAGGAACGGCCACACCTCGGTGGAACGGGGGGATGCCACCTCAGGAGCTGGCCCTGGACACATCCACACACATCCCTGCGGGGCTGCACCTCGGATCTTGCTGGCCAGGTGCTCCTTGGAGGTGATGATCTGGTCCATGTCCGTGCGGATGGTGCTCTCCAGCTGGGGCCGCTCCTGCTCGCACCGCGCCATGGCAGCCTCGTACTGGGCGTGGGTCTGCTCATAGACCATCCTGTACACGGCATCTGAGATCTGGGGGGAACGGGGGACAGCCAGGCTGCTCACCTGCCTGCCCCCAACACCTCCAGCTGCCTCCCCCAGCCATCCCCTGCAGGACCTGCTGAGCCTCCCCCCCTGCCCTGCCAGGACCCTTCCTCACAGCCTGGCAGCAGGTTGCCATCCAGGGACCCCCCAGTTGGGTGAGATGAAGCTCCTGCGGTGCAGAAGTTGCTTCAAAGTGGTGCTGGAGGGGCACAGAGTTGAGCCTCAAGCAGATAACCTGCCCCAGGCGGGTCTGGGGAGGCTGTAAAAAAAATCCAGGGATGCTGCAGATCTGGGGATGCTGCAGATCTGGGGATGCTGAAGGTCTGGGGGGCTGCAGGGTCAGGCATGCTGGTGGTCTGGGGATGCTCCAAGTTCCAGGGATGCTGCAGTTCTGGGGATGCTGGTGGTCCAGGGATGCTGGTGGTCCCGGCAGGAGAGCCCCTGACCCCATTTGAAAGCTGTGCCCTGCCTGCTCAGCCTGCCTGGGCTCTCAGGAGCCAACCCCGTGTGCAGGACGGAGCCACTCGCTGAAGTCTCCCACTCACTTTGCAGCCAAACGCCGGGATTTGGGGGCTGGCAGGAAGCAGAGCCATCCCCTTCTCCCTCCCTCGGGCTTCCCAGCTTCGCAGCTAAGACCACAGCTACTGAGAGAGCAGTGTTTGTGTGTTTTTAGGCTGCCCCAGTGGCCCATTACCAGCCTGGTGGTAATTATGTACGGGGTTTTAAGGTTTTACCAGGCAGTTTTGAAGAGCCCTCAGTGTTTCGCAAGGGTTTGGGCTGCATTTAGCCTGGCCTGCTCTAAAAATGGCTCGCTAAAAATAGCCAGGACAGGCTTTGCTCCGGGGCTGGGCTTCCTCCTGTTTGCTTCCCTGGCCCCGGGGACGAGGCAGAGCGGGCAGGGCTGGGCAGGGCTGGGCAGGGGCACGGCTTTAAAAAGCCACTGTGGAGAAAGGACGGATTCTTCGGAGGGGGCCGGGAGAAGGGGCAGGAAAGCTGGTGGCAGGGAGGGAAGGAAGGAAGCGCTGCAGCCCCCAAAGCTGGGGCTGCAGGCGGGGGAAGGGACAGCAGTGGTGACACTCTCCCCCGGCAATCCCAGCCCCCACACCTGGATCCAGGTCCGCTGGCGCTCCGGAGCCTTCCCCTTCAGCCGCGGGCCGATGGCGCTCCTGAGCTCGGGGAGCAGCTCCTCCATCACCAGGTTGCTCAGGACCTGTGAGGCAGGAGGTTTTGGGGGCCCTGCTCAGCTCCCACACCCCCTTCCCTCCACCCCTCCACAGCCCGGGGTGGGGCACAGGCGCTCACCTGTGTCTCGTTCCCGCACAGCATGTCCCAGGTGCCGTACTGCTCCTTGGACTGCCGGTACATCCGCACGGCGTCCGTGAAGGCTGGAGCCTCCACCTTGGAGTCCTCAGAGATCCCTGGGGAGGGCATGGGGGGGGGGGCCACGACTGAGCAGCCTGGCACTGCCAGAGGGTTTGCAGGACCCCAGCCCACCTTGGCCAGGGCAGGAGAGGGGGGTCCCTCCTGTCCCCCACACCCTCGGACCTGTGCAGGACTAGGGGTCCTGTCCCAGGACACTGTCTCTGGCTGGGTGGGGGGCAGCAGTGCTTGGGGGTCTCTTGTTCCATCCAGATTAACCCCTCCAGAGCCAGACTGAGGGCAGGGAGGCACCCAGGAGCAGGGGCTTGGCAGGATGGAGGCTCAGTGACCCCCAATGGTGCACGGGGACCTGAGGGCTGAGGGACCCCGATGATGTGTGAGGACCTGGGGGCTTGAAGAGCTCTGAAGGCACAGCAGGAGCAGGGGCTTGGCAGGATGGCAGCTCAGTGACCCCTGACACTGCTTGGGGACAGCACCACAGGACAGGGCAGCTGGGGGGACTGGAGGAAAGGGGGAGCCCTGGAGGGAGCAGAGCAGCTCAGGAGGAAGAGGAAAGTGGTCAAGAGGCATCAGGAATGAGTCAGGGCCCCATCCCCAGGCGGCTGGGCTGACCCCGAGGTGAGTCAGTGCAGCACAGCTCACGGGGTCACCAGCACGAGGGGGCTCAGACGTCACCCCCACCCTCCCCCAGCACCCATTGGGAGGAGGGGCAGGGTGCTGGGAGCCCGTGTGGAGGAGGAGGAGGAGATGGGGACAGTGGGCAGGCAGCACAGCCCAAGAGCTGTCCCACATGTCCCCCACACCTCCCTGCCTTGTCCCAGCCTCCCCAGGCTGTGGAGGGGCCTCACAGCCAGAGAAACACCCCTGGGATGAACCCCCCAAACACCCATGCCCAGATCCCTGGCAGGAGGGAAGCAGGATGGATCTGAGCCCTGTCAGGGTGACCTGGCCCCCAGCAGAGGCTCTGGGAGAGCAGTGATGACAGCTGAGGGTCACAGAACATCCCTGGACCACCCAGGACACCCAGGAGTGAGCTCTCCCTTCCCGGGAGGGACAGCCCAGGGCAGTGAGCAGATCATTCCCACTGCACACAGACTTTTCTAAGATGATTACAATTAACTCCCAGCCTAAGCAGCTTTTCCTAAGGGGCAGCTTAATATTCAGGGTGGGGGAAAACACTGAGAAAGTCAAATCTGTCCCTCCTCAGTGCTCGGGGGGAGCCACAGCCAGGCTGAGCTTCCAGGGGCCAGTGCTCCTCCATCCATGGATCCCAGCAGCTCAGCAGTGCTTCCCAGGTGGGACAGCCTTGGGATCAAATTGTTCCCTGTGAGGGTGGGGAGGCCCTGGCACAGGTTGCCCAGAGAAGCTGTGGCTGCCCCTGTATCCCTGGAAGTGTCCAAGGCCAGGCTGGAGCAAGCTGGGCTAGTGGAAGGTGTCCCTGCCTGCAGCAGGGGGTGGAACAAGATGATCTTTAAGGTCCCTTCCCACCCAAACCATCCTTAATAAGGGGCAAGAGCCCTCAGGGAGGCACTGCCCCAGCCCCATGTGACACCAAACAGGGCAAGGGACACTTTTGGAGCAGCCAAGGGCTCCAGGGACACGAGGCTGGGCACTGTCTGGGTGAAGAACAGCGTTGCACATCCCCAATCCTTCCAGCAGAGCTGCTGTTACAGAAATACAGCCTGAAAAGGGGAGGTGAAAATTCCCACAAGACTCACAAGCAGAGGCAGAAACAGAGCCTCTAATTTAGGGATAAAAAAATGAAAGTGTCTCAACAACAACAAAAGAGCTTTCATGGAATATGAAACAGTATCCCAGAGCTCTCAGGAGCGGTGAGGGGCAGGAAGAACAATCTCACAGAGAAATCTGGGCTGTAGGAATGCACAAGTTCCCCAGCACTGAGCCCTCCCTGCCCACTGCCCACCCTGGGAAGGCTTTTCCATCACATGCTGAGGAGAAGGAGAGGGAGGACAGGATTTATTGGCACAACCCTGGCAGGCAGCAGGAGTGGTGCAGTGGCTCACACCTCCCCCATCTCTCACAGCAGCACCTTGGGATGCTGGGGGGAGTTAAACATCATAAATTGGGGGTTTGTTAGTGGGAGATGAATTCCTCTTTTACCCAGAGCTGGTTTGGCTCACAGTGCCCTGGTGTTGTGGGTCCTGGGGTGCTGAGCTGCATCCAGAAATTATGGTCAGGCACAATCTCAACGGGGATGAGGGGTCACTACGCTCAGCCCCCAAAAAAGGAGCCAGGCCCTGGGTGGCCTGAGGGGGTACACTCAGCCCAACGAGCCTGGACAGCCCCAGCACAAGAAAATAAAGCAAAATAGAAGATTTCAGGAGATTTAATCTAACATAGGAGGATGGAAACTCCCACTGAAACCCAGGCACCGGATCCCACCCCTTTACTCTGCTCCCTAAACAGCAGCTCTGGCAAAATCAAGGCAAAATTCAGGCTACACAGAGCAACCAGGACTGCAAGAAGCACTTGAAAAATACGCAGCATTACTCTTTGCCCACTAAAAGACCTGATTTTGAGCAGGTTTCAGCTCTGGCACCGCCTTCCCCAGGAAACTTCTCCCCATCCCAGGCAGGGCCAGGATCTGGGGCTCAGCCCAGGAGCTCCCAGGCCACAGCCAAGCAGGAAAATCGTGTTTTCCTGCCAGAGTATCGCTGACGTGGGAGGCAGGACCTGCCTCCTCCCCGGCCACTCAGCCCCCACCCCTCTGCCCACAGCTCTGGCTGCCCTCAGTGGGGTTTGGGATTTGGGATTTGATGACTGTAATTACCAAGTATTTTCCACCTCAGGGTGGGAAAGAGGCATGAGGGCAGCTCTTGAGTCAGGCTCTGTGCTGGCTCTGCAAGTGCTTCCCTCCCTGTGCAGGTATCCCCGTGGGCAGGGGGATGGAGCCAGACACAGGGATGCTCCAGCAGGTGGATATTCCTGCTCTGCCCACGCTCCAAGGGGCAGACATGGATAAGGGGCTCAATCACAGAATCATGGAATGGTTTGGGTGGGAAGGAACATTAAAGATCATCTTGTTCCAACCCCCTGCCACAGGCAGGGACACCTTCCACCAGCCCAGGTTGCTCCAAGCCCTGTCCAGCCTGGCCTTGGACACTTCCAGGGATGGGGCAGCCACAGCTTCTCTGGGCAACTTCACCTGTCTCCCAGGGAAGAATTCCTTCCCAATATCCCATTTAACTCTGCCCTCTGGCAGTGGGAAGCCAATCCCCTTGTCCTGTCCCCGCAGTCCTTTCCAGCTCCCCTGGAGCTCCTTCAGTCACTGGAAGGTGCTCTAAGACCTCCCTGGTGCATTTTCTCATGCAACAGCTCCCACCCAACTCCTCCTCTTGACCTCCAAACCATCCCCTTTGACCCCAAACTCAACCCAACCACCCAGAGCAGGGGGACAATGCTGTCCCCACCCTGGACCCCCCCCCGTGTGCCCCCAGCCCCGCTCACCGTTGTTGCAGTGCCGGACGCAGTCCTGGAACACCGCGCGCCACTTGTCCTGCTCCTTGCCCGTCATGACACAGAAATAGTAGTGCCTGGCATAGGGGTGCCAGAGGATGAGGGGGAAATCCGTGGGGCACTTCAGGATGGGCGAGTGCCCCGATTTGGGGGTCACACCTGCAGAGAGGGGAGGACGCTCTGAGGAGGAGACGGGGCAGGAGAGGGACACGAGAACCCCTTGGCTCCTTCCCAGTGCTGTGAGTTGTGCCTTGCTCTTCCAAAGAGGGCATCAGAAGTGAAAATTGAGAAATGAAATTAAAATTCATTGAAATCTCTGGGTTTTTCAGGGAGCCACAGATGTGTTTTGCTTCTTTCCCTGGTGGCTGTGGCAGGACCTGAGCAGCAGAGTCCTCACATCCCGCCGAGGGTGAATGGGGCTGTTCTCCTGCCCTGCAGCCCCACATCCCAAAATTACTCCTTCCCAAAGGTCCCCAAGGATGCTCCACCCTAAAACCACCCCTTCCTGAAGGTCTTCAAGGACGCTACACCCCAAACCCACCTCTTCCAGAAGGCCCTCAGAGATTCTACACCCTAAAGCAACCCCTTCCAGAGGGTTCCCAGAAATGCTACATCCAAAAACTACTCCTTCTTGAACGGTCTTCAAGGATGCTACACCCCAAAACCACCCTTTCCTGAAGATCTTCAAGGATGCTACACCCCCAAACCACCCCTTTCTGAAGGTGTTGCTACACCCCAAAACAACCCTGTCCAAAAGCTCCCCCAGGGATGCCCGCACCCCAAACCCACCCTTTTCCAAGGGTCCTCAGGCATCATGTACCCCAAACCCACCCCTTCCCACAGGTCCCCCAAGGGGTGCCCAGCAGCACCAGGGGGTGCAGGGGGCTCACCAGGCAGGCTGTTGTTCACCAGCTCCAGGTACTGGTCCACGGAGGTGAGGACTTTGTAGCCGGCACTGTTGACCAGCACGCGGGGCGGCAGCTCCCGCTCGTAGGCCTGGGCAGGAGAAGATGGGCACGGATGATGGGGAGCATCCCTGGCCACACCACCACCACCATCACCCCCCTTTGGAGCTGTCCCTGCTGGAGATGGGTGAAAGGGGGGGGTTCTCCTCACCAGTTTGTTCTCGTAGAGGACCAGGCCATAGTTGTGCGGCACCACGCAGAAGCGGTTCCTCCACTTCTTGTTGTCCTCGATGTACTGGAAGATGTTGCCTGAGTAGATGACATGGTCCTCCAGTGGGACCTGGGGGGAGCAGACAGAGAGGTGGGAGGCAGCTCTGGCTCGGGGAGCTCAGCCAGGTCCGTTTGTGGTGGTTGGGTGGGTGTTGCTGCACTAGGGCTGTGCTGAGGGTCTCTTGAGTTCACCACTGTGTTACCTCCTGCAGCACCGAAAATTTTAGTGCCTGAACAGGTTTGCTTGGGTGGCACCTTTGAGGGGCACCCCACGCACAGTCCCAGAAAACCCCAGAGAGGCTGCTCATGTAACCACTGGAGTCACACATGGTGGCTTTCACCACACTCTGGTCACAGCCCTGCCCCTCAATCTCCATCCTGGGAGACACACCAAGCTCAGCTGAGCGACCTGAGCTCACCCGGCTGAGCAGCAGGTTGGAGAAGAGCCCTCCAGCAGCAATTCCCAGCCCCAGCTCCTGCAATTTCCATGGCTTGGGGCAGTGGGGAGCATCTGTGGCACTGCTGGCAAGTGGGCATCAGCATGAAGGTCCTGCCAGAGGTATCTGCAGATGGCAGGAACCAAGCCCTGCTCAGCTGGGTCTCCAGATGGGAAAGAAGAGGAAAAGCAAGAAGCCACCTCATAGGGCTCAGCATCAGATGGTGCTCAGATGTTCTGGACTTCATGGAGGACCAGCAATAGCTCCTCTAAATGAGGGGAGGTTTGGATGGGATATTGGGAAGGAATTCTTCCCTGTGAGGGTGGGCAGGCCCTGGCACAGGTTGCCCAGAGAAGCTGTGGCTGCCCCTGGATCCCTGGGAGTGTTCAAGGCCAGGTTGGATGGTGGAAAGTCCAGTGGAAGGTGTCCCTGCCCTTGGCAGGGGGTGGAACCGGATGAGCTTCGAGGTCCCTTCCAACCCAAACCATTCCACGATTCCACGATACGATTCCGTGACAGGAACAGCCCAAGGACATCCCACACCCCCCCTCTCCCCTCCCAGAGCAGCCCCTCAGTGTCTCCAGCCCCTTTTGGCCCACAGGCCGCAGCGTTTACGCCATCCCAAACACAGCCTGGCTGGGGGAGCCAAGAATCCGTCCCAGGAATTTTTATGATCCCAGGAACATAAACAAAGAGCCGAGAGCTCTCGTGAGGGCTCGAGTGTGCGGCGGCCGCCTCCGCTGCCGTGGCCACCCACCATCCACCACGGTGGCCATCGGGAGGGACCATGACACTGAACCAGCACCCTCCTGGAGGAACTTTTCCCACTCCTCTCCCTGCTCCCCATCTCCCGGTTCCCAGGAACCTCACTCACTGCCTTCCCCAAGCTGTCCACTCCCCCTGACCACACACCCACCTCACTGTTCCTTACGGCTTTCCAAAGCCCTTGGAAGAGGGAGAAGAACCCCAGGTTAAGCCCTGCATGGGCTGAGGGATGGCAGGAGCCATGAGAATCTGAGCCCCAAGGCCCACCAGCAGGATGGGGACAGAAAGGAGGTGCCAGCTCTGGGAGTCCCCATCAGCGTCTCCCCAGGGTGGCTCATCCAAGGAGAATGAGCCCTCCCTGTCATGGGAGCAGGGAATGTCATCTTTGAGGCTGCCATGGGAGCAGAGGGTGTCAGGGGTGGTTTTCCAGATGGAATGGGGACACCTGGGTCATTGGAGAGACCAAAAGCAGAGATATTTATTCCATATCCTCATTGCTGTTGTACGTTGCTGGTGTTGCAGGTGACCCCAGCCCTGCTGTCCCACTCTGCCCAGCAGGGCCACCAGCCCCTGGTCTCACTGCACTGAATCCCCACAGAGATCACAGAAAAAAGGCCAATAAACAACTAACATTTAAAAATCCCAAGTGCCACATCCCAGCTGGACCTGCCTGAGGACAGGCAGGATGCCACCCTCCATCTTTAGCCATCCACAACTTTCTGGGAGTGTTTGGGGAGCAGAGAGCCCATCTGGAGGAGATGTTCACCTCAAAGAGCCACCCCACAGACTGGTCCCTACAGTATCTGAAGCACTGGGACATCCCAGTGGCACTGCTGGGATCCTGGGAGGGGATGGGCAGCAGGCAGGACACTGAGCAAGAGGAATGTCCTATTTATACACCGGTGTTTTCCAAGCCTTGCACGGTGTCCCTGACCTCCTGACCTTGCTGCTGTTCCTCAGACATTCCTGGGCTGCTTGAAGCAACAAACCTGGGGATGGAGGTACCTCCCAGGGGGCAGGAGCTGAAGGCATCTGCTAAATTCCAAGGAAGCCAAGGGACGAAGCGCTGAGGACACTGAGTGCCTGGCTCCCCCACAGGAACCTCCCCTCCTTTATTTTTCCTAACAAACCCAGCACCCAGGCAGCTCCCAGAGGAGGTGGGGCACATCCAGGTGCTGGACAAGGTGTCACCTTCACAGGTGGGTCAGGGAGACAACTGCTGTGAGCCCCAGGGCTCGAGCGTGACCTCACAGAGGTATTTTCTAGATTTCTTAACAAAACCACCCCCTTTAAGCCCCAGACAAGAGCAGAAGCCTCTCTCCACATGCAATCACATCTCCTCCTGCTTTCAAGGAGCATCCATGGGACAGTGGCTCCAGGGAGGACTCCAAGCCCTGTCTGATGAGCACCCCCTGCCCATGTGCATCTGCCTTTGGAGGTGGGAGTAAAGGGCAGGATCCCCCCCACCCCAGGTGCCAGATCCACAAGCTCCATCTCCAAGGGAGACCTTTAGCCAGGCAGGAGACACGTGGCTGCTGGAGATCAGACTTGGAGCCGGCTCCGCTTCCCCCACAGGGTCAGGGACATCTGCCAGGTGTTTCCTACTCCTCCCTGGGAATCTGCCCGGGCTGGAGCATCACTCTCACCCAGGAGCAGGAGGACAGCAGCCTGGCACACCTGCTCAGGGCTTCACTGGGCACCAGGAGGTCCCACCAGGGGCACAGACATCTATGGGGCTGCATCCCCAACACAGCCTTGTCCTCGCTTGCTGCCTGCACTCCTTCCATGGGGTGGGAAAGAAAAACCACCCCACCTGCTGCACAACAGCCCAGGGATGGGCTGCACCAGTGGCACGGGCTACATTCCACCTGGCAGGGTGGGACAGGGAGCAGGGACGTGCCTGGGCTTTGGGGAGGACGTCAGGGCCCATCTTACCTTGCGGTGCAGCAGCTGAGCCTGCGGGCCCCCGTTGCCCTCGATCTCATAGCGGACGCTGTTGAACAGAGCTACCCCGTACTGCTCCTTGTAGCACCTGCAGAACTCCCCCAGCACCTTCCCTGTCTTCTCTGCAAAGGGAGAGCAGAGACAGGTCAGCCAAGGGCTGGGTTTGGGGGTGTCCTTGCTGCAAACCCGCCCGTACCCCCTCAGACATCCCCCCCACCCCACCTCCCATCACCCTCCTGCTGCCAGGGAGCACAGAGGAACCTGCTGCTTTCTGCCCTGCCCATCCAGCCCAGGGACTGAGTTGGGGTCAGGATGATCTCTTTTTTTGGCCTTTCACATTATTTCATGGATTCCTCTCCCCGGCAGGAAATTCCTGACATTAAGATGATTCCGGCTTCCCGTGCCTTTTGCAGCTCCTGGCCCTGCTCCGACCACCTCAGCCTGCTAAGATTGGGGCAACCCTCTGTTCCCCATCCCCAAACATCACTCACATCCCCCCTGACCCTGCTGTGCCCCTAGAAGGGCCATCCCAGGCTGGGATCCAGGCCCTGCAGCTGGTGATGCATTGGAGACACTCAAAGGGGAAAGGACAGTCTGGCCCCCCCATGCTCTCCATGTCACCCCCAGATGAGACAGGGACCCCACCAGGACCCCAAACTCCAGACAGGGATGAAACCAAGGTGCTGGGAGAGCCTGATCTACCAGGTACTCCTGGGCACCCCACATTGGAGGAGATCCCCTCCATCCCTTCCCCATCAGCCTCCTACCCCTCAATGCACAGGGTGGGGGGACACTGCAAACCCACCCCCAGCAGCAGGGACAGGGCTTTCCCAGCCCCAGGGGGGCAGTCACAGGAACCCCTTGTTCCCCCTGGGACATCAGCCACAGTGGAGGAGTGGGGCTGTCCCCCCAAGCTTTGCCAGCACCCACATCCCATGGGCACCCTGAGCCACCCAGCACCCTCCCCACCCCAGCTCCAGACCCCACACGGGGCTCCCACACCAAAACCCCGGCACGAAGCATCCCAGAGCTGCGGAAAACCCTCCCCCAGAGCCGCCTTTGGCACAGGGCGCCTCGACTTTGAATTTCCCTCTCAACTTTGCCCCAGAGCCTGCGAAAAAGGAAGAATTTGAGCCTCCTCCAACTATTTCTGACAGCTCAGGCCCTGCCAGAGCACTGGCAATGGGAGGAAGGATGCTGGCTCTGCATGCCGGTGCTGGAGCCAGCGCGATGCTGGGGGCACGAACCCAGACAAAACAGCCCCCCCTGAGCCGGCTCGGCACAGCTTGGCAGGAGCCAAAATCTCCAGTCGGCAGCCGCCCCAGAGCCGTGCTGGCAGCCAAGGCAGCACAAGGAGCAGCTTGCTGCAGGGTGCTGCAAATCCCTATGGGATGAGCGGCTCCAGAGGAAAACGCTGCCCGAGGACAGCGGTGGGGAGGGGGGAGGGATGGAGATAAACCCGTCCCTGAGGAGACGCCGGCGCTGCCGGCAACGGGAGCAGCATCGCTGTGCCAGGGCTGAAAATCACTGCAAATCGCTTTCAATTCAACGCAGTTCTTCACAGCAAAGGATGAGAGGGTGGCTGATCCCGTCAGAGGAATTCCTCGGCCCTGATTTTGGCCTTTCCCCCTGGAAAGGCGCAGCCGGGCCGCGCTGGCGCCCCTGCAGCACCTCTGTTGCAATTCCCGGCTCCCAAGCTGTGTGATCTTGGCCAGGGAGCTGGGCAGCCATGCAGGCAGCCGAGATTGAAAAGGACATTTTGAGGTTTCATTTCCTTTCAGTTCATGGGAAAAAACGAGCCCCCGGTCCCCGGGCAGGCGAGACGGCTTAGTCACTCATTCCTCCCTGATTAACGGCGGGGCCAATTAGGAGCTTTGGAGGCAATGGAAAAGCAAAAGTCAATTATTTGCAGAGGTTGAAACAAGACTTGCAGTGAAATATCCGAGGTGACTAAACCTCCCCAGGCTCAGCAAACCCCCTGCAGGGTGTGGAGTGGGGTGCTGTGGGATGATGATCTCTGACCACTAGCCCTGGTGGCCACCCCAGGGGAAGGAAGAGGGACACAGACCCGTGTGACAAGGTGACATCAGATTTGGCAAGGTGGTGCTAGTGGTGGTAGAGCCAGGCTTTGCTTGAGCAGGGGATGGGGAGTCCACACTGACGATGCCAGTGGGTGCCCTGACCCCCAAAATCCGTAGCACCCTGTGTGGGGCTGATGTGTCCCACGTGGGAACCAGCTCAGTCACCCACTGGTTCCTTCCTCCCAGCAGTACTGGGATCTATGGGGAGCATCCTCTGGCCATACAGTGAGCACTGGGGGTTATAATAGAGGGCATTCCCCCCTCAAGCTCCACAACCAAAGCCACCCATGAGCCCTGTCCCTCCATGAGCAGCTTTGTCTGCAGTCCCACCAAGAGCTGGAGGGGTCTGGGGACAGGTGACAGTCCAGAGAGCTGTGTCCCCTGTCCCCTCACAGTCATGGTTATGGAGAGAAGGGGCTTGTCTTGGCTTGGCTGCGTCCCACCCAGCCACTCCCCACCCTGGGTGCAGGCTCAGACACCTCCAGCAAAGTCCTTTGGCGAGTGGGAGCACGCACAGGGACCTTCCAGGGCCGGGTGTCCCCAGCCACCCACTGCCAGCGCTTTCCCAACCCTGCTGTTTGCTCTGGGACCGCTCTGCTCCACCACCCTCCCACTGCCACCACCCCATCCCTGTCACACCCAGCCCTGCAGAGGCACCAGCCCCCGAGCAGCCGGGGTGGCTGGGCTGGCACAGGCCGGGCTGGCACAGGCTCCAGCACATCCCTCTGGCTCCTGGCAAAGGCAGGGAGAAAACAGCGGCTTTGTGGGGTGCCAAGGGCACTGAGGCCTGGCTCAGCAGGATCCCCTGTGCCAGCACCTCTGGTCACAGAGCTCCTCTGTCCCCAGCCCCTCCTGCCTCCACAGCATCCCCATGACTAAGCTGCACGTGGTGGCTGCAGGCGGAGATAAAGGGACTCCAGAGCCGGGGAGGGCAGAGGGAGGCAAACCCTGAGCCAGGCTGGATGCAGGGCTGGGCAGGAGGCTGGCAGCAAGGATAGGGCTGAGCCATGCCACACCAGCTCCCAGCCACGCTCCAGCCCCACTGCCAGATCCCCAGGGAGCCCCACACCCTCCTGGCATCACCCAGGGGGCACAGCGGGGCAGGCAGCCCTGTAGGACACCCCACACAGGGACAGGGCAGCAGCTCAGGTTTGTCCTCGTCCCAGAGGAGTCCATGAGGCTTGTCTGGGTGAAACCAGCCTGGAGAGGAGGCTGTGCTGCTGCCACCCCCCCGACCAGTCGTGCCACTACCACTGTCACTGAGCCTGGGGCAGTGCCACGGCCACGGCACAGCCCTGGGGCAGATGGAACGTGCAGCCCTCGATGCTGAGAGGTCACAGCCCGGCCAGAGCAGCCCTGGCCCAATGTTGGTCCCTCCAAGCCAGGGCAGGAGGTGGATCTCACCCTCAGGATTCCAGAGACCACGGCAAACTGGTCCAGCAGCCTGGACTGGCTGTGTCCTGCCCTTGGGAGCATCTCCAGCACCATCAGCAGCTCCACATATAAAACCACAGGATGGTTTGGGTTGGAAGGGACCTTAAAGCTCATCTTGTTCCAACCCCCTGCCATGGGCAGGAACACCTTCCACTAGCCCAGGTTGCTCCAAGCCCTGTCCAAGCTAGGCTTGGACACTTGCAGGGATGGGGCAGCCTCAGCTTCTCTGGGCAACCTGTGCCAGGGCCTCCCCACCCTCACAGCCAACAATGCCTTCTGTAGATCTAACTTAAATTTTCCCTCTGTCAGTTTGAAGCCATTCCCCCTTGTCCTGTCACTCCAGTTCCTGATGAACAATCCCCCTCTGGCTTCCCTGTAGCCCCTTCAGATGCCGTGAGGTCTCCACACAACCTTCTCTTGTCCAACATGCTCCTCCCTCCGTGCACACACAAGCACACACACATGTACCCCTGAACACACATGAACACACACACACACACGTGTGTCCATACCCAGGACAGGCTGGAGGCCAGCAGCTGACAAATCCCAGCGGGAACACTCATCTCATCCTCCCTCCAGCCCACATCCCCTTTGGCACCCACAGCCCTCACGTGTCCACTGCCCTTTACATCTGCCGGGGGGTTACATGCCTTTGGAATCCCAGCCCTCCCCAGAACCCCCTGGGTTGATGGAGAATCGTGGAATCATGGAATCACAGGATGGTTTGGGTTGGAAGGGACCTTAAAGATCATCTCATTCCACCCCCCTGCTGTGGGCAGGGACACCTTCCACGAGCCCAGGAGCAGAGTGAAGTGGGAGCAGGAGCTGGGAGCAGAGTGCCCAAGCCCCTGTGGATGCCACAGGCATGCCTCACCCCAGGCAGGGAATTTTCCTTCTGGTCCAGAAAACAATAAGAAAAACCAAAAAGGACAAAACAGCTCATTGGAGCACAACCCTCGGGCTGGGGGGGCTGTGGCGTGGTGGGACAACCCAGTGGCAGGGGACCCGTGGGCAGCATGTGCTGGCCTGGCCAGGCTTGCCAAGGGGAAGGACTTAATCACTAATTTGGTCAGTAAATGATTAGTGAGCAGGGGTGGGTTGCTGAGGGCACTGCGGGCTCCCAGAACCCCAGAACCTGGGACACTGACAGGGACAACCACCACAGTGGCATTGACAGGGACATCCACCATGGGCTGGCACTGACAGGGACACCCATGGGCTGGCACACAGTGGCACTGACAAGGGACTGTGGTGGCCTGGATGGCTCTTCCAGCAAGGGACACCAAGGACAAGGCCACTGCAAGGGAGGCTGATGCCACCAGTTGTCCCAGGTCATCCTTCTGAGCAGGGCTGCTCCAGCCATCCCTCCCTGCTGCCTGGTCCAAGCACACTCAGGGCTGTGCCCGTTGTCCCTCCTGTGCCCCAAATCCTGGCATTATGCAGACAGTGCACCTGGGCATTCTCCTGAGGGCACACAGCATGGGTGGGGTGCACAGGATGCCACGGAGGGGGTGCTGAGCCAGACCCCAAGCCAGCAGCACCCCACGAGCCCTGAGCAGTGCCTGGACATGAGGACCCGTGGGCACAAGTCCCACCTCACCCCACGG